AAAAAAAAAAAAAAAAAACACTAACATTTTATTTCTTAGTTTCTGTGGCTAATTTATCTTCTTTCTTATCATCTATCTTAGTGACTTAACTGTTTCTCCTGTATCTTTAGTGGATAAAGAACACTGCCTCCACTCCCAGAGTTCAACATTAAAATTGCAGCTGGCTGGCTCAGCACCTGTAATTCAGTGGCTAGGGCGCCAGCCACATATACACGAGCTCGTGGGTTCAAACCCAGTCTGGGCCTGCCAAAAAAAAAAAAATGACTACTACCACCAAAAAATAGCCAGACGTTGTGGTGGGCGCCTGTAGTCCCAGCTACTTGGGAGGCTGAGGCAAGAGAATCGCTTAAGCCCAAGAGTTTGAGGTTACTGTGAGCTGTGATGCCACTGGCACTCTACCCAGGGCGACAACTTGAGGCTCTGTCTCAAAATAAACAAACAAACATAAAAAAAAAAATTGCAGCTGGAAAAAATTCAAGGCCCAGCATGGGAAGAGGCAAAGCTGTTCATGGCCACAGGAGGGTGCCCTGGCTCCTCTATGAGTAGCTCATCGGACTAACAGTGCCACAGGCCAAGTGGTTACCCCCATTTCTCATAAGCTGAGGAGAACTCCGGCAAAAGTAAGGGAGAGAGCACAAAGCCCAGATTCTGACATCTGGATGGGAAGGGAACAGAATAGAGAAGGGACAGGTTTAGCTAAAGATACTCAAACAGCAGAAGAAGAGAGAGCTCTCTTAGGAGGGAGCACTTAGGGACCAAGACCTACCAGCACCTCAAAGATTTTCCCTTCTGAGGCTCAGCAGGGAAGGGAAAGGTCTGGAGAAGAGAAATTAGTGACCTTTCCTTCCTGCTCCACTCCCAGGCCTAAAGGTAATTACTATGGAGCAGCACAGGGCTGAGAACATCCCCAAGCAGGAAACCACCATGGGGAGCCAAACCCTTTCAAGATGTTAAATGGCTTCTCTTGTTTATCATCAATCTGGAACCCAATGCTCCTGTTTATAGCGGTTACTTCCATTTATTATGTATTTATCTCCTTTTATTTATATTGTGAAAATATAACTATATAATTCACCCTTACTTAAAAGTGTACAACTCAGGAGGTTTTTTTTTTTTTTTTGAATACTCACAAAGTTGTGCAATCATCACCACTGTTTAATTCCAGAAGTTACCTCCATCTGTACTTCTCACTGATCAGCATGCTTCTAAGATAGGCTTGGAAATAAGAATGTCATGAGCATCTTCCTCTTGCAGCCACAGACAGGAGTAGAAGCCACCGATAGGGCACACCCTTGTAGCCTGAGGACTGGCTGATGCAGGGGCTGTTTTTGACTGAAAATTAGCAGCCTCTTAAGGCAGGCTGCTGTGGCAGAGGGAGTGCAGGGCAGGAAGGGCAGCATGTCTGTGAGAGCAAGGCAGCCCTGTACTCTGCTCTCACCCGGGTGCTCAGCAGGCCAAACTTACACTGGCCAGGAGGCGGCAGTGGGTGAATTGAGTGAGGGAGATGGGGCAGGGGCTTGTTAATGGCAGAACGTGGTGGATCCAGGAGTTTCTTCAACTGCAAACAGTGAGATGGGGTGTCAAAACAACAACTGGATCTCAGCAAGGCCACCTACTACTCTGCTCAGCCAGAAGCCTAGGGACATCTGAGACATCTTGAAAACTCTTTCCCTGACCTGTCCCAAATCAATCAATCAGTTGCTGAGTCCTTGCTGCTATCACCAAGATTTCTCTTGAATCCGTGTACTTCTTTATCATTTGCACAGCCACCATCCTATATCCAGCCTCCACCTCCACTGAGTTTCTATACTTTGGTCAGAGAGATCTTTTTAAAATGTGAATTTGACTATTTTACCATTCTGTTTAAAACCGTTCATGGGCTTCCCATTGCCCTTAAAATAGAGTCCTCCATTTGGATTCTGGCTTAGGAGCTAACATAATCTGTCCCCTGTTTCCTCACCTCCCACACTGTATTCCAGACATCCAATCCTACTGCCCTTCTTATGCCCCTCAGATAAGCCTATGGCTCTACTAATGCACCCCTCCTTCTCTCCTTACCTACCTGAGGCCTAGGCATTCTCTAGGCTGCAGTCTACACAGCACCTCTTGGGGACATGAAGGAGGAAAGCACCGTCCCTAACCCAGACTAGGGTAGGCTTCTCTTGTGGCTTCTATGCCTTTTGCAACCTCTTTACACTGTTCATGTCTGTCTTTACCCCAGGACTATGAAATCCACCAAATACCTTCATCTTTCTACCTGTTGCTTAACTCCAGGGTTCAGCTTTGTGCCTACCATATAGTAGGCACT